CCAAGTCATCAGATCTCCGGTTCTCGGTCAGCGGAGCGTATCTGTTCTGGATTGGCACACTTGGTGGTTTAGGAGGATTGTTTGTAATTCTCCCTTTAGCAGCTGTCCACGGCTGTTTCCTAGTATGAATAGGGGTTGAAGAGGCGCTCTTCCTGGGTGATAACAATGCAGGCCAGCCGGTCGCATCACAGATTTCGGAGCTCTGGGCTCTGCCTGTTATCCGTCCTCCCAAATCCCATGGAAGTGATTTACTCTTAGGCTTTGCACCCAGAGAGTTCCAGGGAGGACTACCACTTGTAGATTTATTACCCGGTACACAGCCCTCCTGTTCCTTGGAATCTTTGTAGCTGCTAACTAGCTGTGAGTTAGCATACCCTTCTCCATTACTTAGCAACACTGGTAAAGTCGTGTCATTCCCACGACATAGTCCATTCACTTCCACGTTAACTTCCAACCGTTGCATTTTCATTTCCAACACAGCCATCTTCTGTATAAGTTTCTGGAAGTCATCTGTAGAGAACGGAGGCATTTTGCTACCAACTAGCTTAAGCTAAATAGCAGTAGCCTACCAGGCTTTAGCTGTTGCTAGGCCACGCTATTGTAAGACTGACGTCGTCGTAAAAATGTTGAAATATGGCTGAAACCCTCCGTCTATTTACGAAGATGAACTGTCCCAGTGATAAGTTAATGTCCAGGAGCCGCTGCTCGAAGTTTTCAGAGAATAAGAATAGGAAAATCAGCATAAAAAGTAAGCAGAGGCAAGAGCAAGCAGAAAAGCGTCTGCACTGTAAGAAAGATAAGCAAGAGGCTCCGCCGCTAACAGCTCCGGTGATCCACTAGCACTAGTAACAAAAACAATTCCATCTACTTTTCTGGTTCAAAGAACACAAATTAGGTTATTTACATAAACCATTCATATTGCAAATCCAAATTAAAGTTTTGGTAACAATTGCTTTTTCAATCCACTAGATGGTGTTGAGCTTGTTCTTGTGGGTCATGGCCATGGGTAATGTCATTTGGATTGGCAGGAAGTTAGTCAAAACAAAGATGGAGTCAACAGAGAAAGAAATCAGAAATGCGGCGGTCGCGTTTTAATCAAAGGTGTGGAATTATTTGGGATTTTTTAACCAGGAAGGGAAGAAGGACATGGATATATGACGCATGTGATTTGCAATATTGCAATATATCGTAACGCAATACTTAGCATATCATAGAATCGCAATACTATCGTATCGTGGCTTAAGTATTGTGATAGTATCGTATCGTGGGGAGCCTAGTGATTCCCACCCCTAAAAGCCAGCATGCATTAATTAACAGGATAGAATTGCATTTTATTGATTGTAATTTTGATAGTAGCCAGGATTAATGGCGTAAATATTGTTATGCAGTTTCCATTTGATGTAATGTCTGCATTTCTACATAGTATTTTTGATCTTGTGTATTGTGTTTTGTGTTTGGGACAGGGCCCACATGATTCAGAAATGTAAAGGCAGTGATAATGTACTTTAGTTATTACTATCTTAATGAACTGCTATGACATACATAAGACATAAGCTCATCACAGTAAATTACAAAAGGTACAATCTCTCCAAATCTTTGTGTAGATATTTTGAAAGATACATTCCTGTGTTACTTATTTCTCTCCATCCAGGTTGGATGCATGCAGGCTATCCCATCATGATACACACAGATTCAGCTACAGAGCTCTTCAGACCAGATTCTGCCAAGACTGCAGGCCTGTGGGGAGAAATTCATGAACTGGGACACAACCAACAGAGAAGCTGTTGGGAGTTTAGACCACACACCACAGAGGCCACATGCAACCTGTGGTCAGTGTATGTGCATGAAGAGGTGCTGGGGCTCAAAAGAGAAAAGGTATGAAGAAGGATATCATATATATCAGTATTTTCAAACGTATGACCAAAGGCCCAATAAAGCTGCATCTCTAAGAGTATTATTGTATTAAGAGACATTTTCATATTAGAGTTCAATCTCTCTTGTTATTTCCTACTTGTAATAAAATGACTTGACTGTGTTCAATACAGGCTCATCCATCGATGATCTTGACAAATCGGAAGAACACTGTAGATAAGTATGTTAAGGGAGGCAAGAATCTCAGCGACTGGAATGTGTGGACGGCCCTGGAGACATACCTGCAGGTGAAAGAGAGTTGATGTGTTTTATATTATGTGGAAAAAATATGCTTGGGTTAGATGACATTCAACATTCATTCAGAATGGGAATGCTAAACAGCATAAAAATGCAAAGAAGTAGATGCAATAGAGAAAGAAAACTGTTGATATTACCATTTTTGGATCGGATCCAATGTGATTGGTCTGGTAAATGTACCAATTCAAACCGATTGATCCTCTCCATTCATACTCTACAGTGCATGCTAACATTTGCATGTTAATGGTAAACTAAGGTTTTAGACTGATTGACCACGCCACGGTTTATCCGTCAGCACCATCATTGTTTAGATCAAATGCTTGTGAGGATTCTTCTATTTTATGAAAGTTAATTGTTCTACTTTTTCATAAACTCTATTTCCTTCCATGTAGCTCCAAGAAAGGTTTGGCTGGGATGCCTTTAAGAAGGTGTTTGCTGCCTACCAACAGATGAGCAACTTTCCCAGCGAGAACGATGCAAAGATGAACCTGTATGCTGAAACCTTCTCCCAGACTGTGGGGATGAACCTGTCTGCGTTCTTTAAGGCCTGGAGCTGGCCCATCGACAGAGCCACTGAGGAGATACTCTGCAACCTGCGTCCCTGGAGCGACCACCCCATGGTCCAGTATGACTGAACATCCAACTGCAGCGGAGTTCATTCCAGAGCGATTTGTGTTATAACTGGCATTAATTTGGGGAACAGGGTTTATTTTAATAGTTGTAGTGATTTAACCTAATAGTGAAACGATAATAACTAAATTCAAATTGAAAGAATATATTCTTCATAACAAATGTAACAGATTACAATTACACTTCTATGATTATTCATGAAAAAATGTTGACTCCCCCTTGCAGCTTAAAGCAGTTTAATACAGCTGGTTAGCCTGTAAATCACAGACACCCCATAGAGCTGTAGAGATGGGTGATTATTCTCTTTATATTCATCATTATGAGCAGACACTTTTTACTTATGCAGATTAATGTGGCTCACTGTCAATACAAATGCAACAAAATAAGCAGCTTTATATCTTTTTCAGCAACAATAATACAATTGGTAATTGTTTCATTAGATGTATGGCACTATTATGAAAGCCACCTTAAGTACTTCATTCAGGGTCATTTAACTCAAACACCATCAGAGATATGTTTCTTGTTGGGATCAGTAAGATGTGTATTTCATTGATGGATTTCTTTATAATAACTTCATATTTTCCAGTTGTATAAAATTGATGACAAATAAACAGTTATTTCATCCCTGTATTGATTTTTACTCATCTATTGTTGGTTGAATGAATACTAATAAGGAAAATGTAAATGTTAACCTTTGTGTGATGTTTGGGTCAAATTTTAGATTTTTACCAGTGCCTTGGCTTCCAACTGCAGCAAATGCTCTCGATAAAATGTGATCCGTCTACAATACTGAGACACACACTCAAACTCACTCAGTCACTCACTCAGTTGCTCACATAATCACTACACACACACACACATACCATGTATACATCACTTCAGGGGACATTACATTGACTTACATACATTTCCTGGACACTTATCCTAACCTTAACCATAACCAACACATGCCTAACCCTAACCCTAAACCTAACCAAGTCTTCCCCCTAAAATTGATGATTCCCCTCATGGGGTCCTCCATTTTGTCCCCCTAAGGGAGGCGAGTCCCCACACGTGACTGTGTAAACAGATTTAGGTCCCCACAAGTATAGTAATGCTAGGCCACACACACACACACACACACACACAAGATTCTCAGCTCAGATGCCTTGGAACTGATATTGGATGAGGATGGTTTAATTTTTGATAATACATAATGAAACTCTTTGTTGCTGCCAACAAGTCGTGCCTCAACAACACACATTCTTATTGCATGCAGTGGCCTGTTACTAGCCCTGTACTGCAATCAGCCAACAATCTGTGTATCAACGTGTTGTACCAAGTGTTATAACCTGTCTGATTACAATCCAATGAGGTGCAGGAGGGGGTTTGATGTTTCAAATGCAATACTTTTTAGAAAAAGCAAATCGGACTTCTTACTTGTCCTTGCGTGCAAATACCTCTGGCAAAACATAATAATTTGGGAGAATTGGGAAATCATTAAAAAAAAACAACAGAACCAATGTCTGTGAAGTGTTTAATCATTCATAACTTTCTTCTAGAAATATGTTGTACTTACAGCTCACTAAAAGTGCTGGCTTTCCATCTGTTGGTTCTTCACATCATATTTTTTTCACAACGGCACTACAATACATTTTTATTTTGTCAGTCAGACAAAGTGAGGTTTACAGTAAACTAGCAGATAACCCCAAACACATCCGTTATCTTCTTTGCCACAGTGCATCAGGCAAACTCTTAACCTGTTTCATAGATGTTTTGACATTGTGACTATACCGACCAGTCTTCTCTGCTTGGAGTCCCAAGTAAATGAGACGGTTTATAGAGTCATTAAAGGCATCAAAGCTCAGAATTTAGATCAAGTCATGAAATGTATCAAAATCATCATCAAATGTTATTCATTTCTCACTCGCCATTAAATGTTATATAAAAAGGTTGAATGCTCTTCCTTAACAAGCAGAAGGGAGTATCATTGTATGTTTACTTGTGCTTTACTGCAAAACTGCATGGATACCTCTGCTATAGCTACATTTAAATGGTACTGACAATGTCAGGCTACAGGAAATTTTAACATGCCTCAATGACAGATGAACTTGCATTCTTTTATCTTACTTGAACATTCTAAAATATTAAAGTTATCTTTGCCAACACATTTGCAAAGTTGAATACTGTGGGTGAATGATCTGTCTCTCCGTCTATGCTAAACTGTGTGTTTTGTTTGTTGAACACATGTCTTTCTGGAAAAAGAGGTCTGATCTCAAAGAAACTACTAGGATTAAAAACAATTTAAAGTGAGGGAGAGACATCCTTTCAGGGGGACAATTAAGGTAAGGTAAAACAAATGGTTACCACTTTACAATAAGACTACCCTTATAAAGGGTTATTAATTAGGTTGTAAACATTTTATTAATCCTTAAGAACCATTTATAAACCAGTTCTAACATCAACACAGGCTCACTATTTGGCAAGATGACTAAGCCTTATATTGGCTACTTAGCTTACTTCGTCTTCTTCATCAGCCAACATCCTTGGTATCTGTTGTTCACTGAGTTAATTCCCCTCCTTCCATCTTGATGTTTCTTGGCATCTCTTTATGACCATTTATTTACGAGTTACTAACATTTATAGTTGCCAAAAGGGAGCCTTATTGTAAAGTGTAAAACACATTCCCATGTATTAATGAGTTACTACCAATAAGGCTTAGCAGTACAGATAAATGCGGGCTCACTATTTGGCAAGCAACCAGTCACAGTTGCCCTGTTTCATGCCTTATAAAAGCTTATTAAGGATTTATAAAGTGTTCACAACCTAATTAATAAATTAATTACAAACTATTCGTTGGATATTCGCGGATACAAGCGGCCGAGATGGGTTTTCTCCGCAGGGTGGCTGGTGTCTCCCTTAGGGATAAGGTGAGAAGTTCGGTCATCAGGGAGGGACTCGGAGTTGAGCCGCTCCTCCTTCGCGTCGAAAGGAGCCAGTTGAGGTGGTTCGGGCACCTAGTTAGGATGCCACCTGGGCGCCTCCCTAGGGAGGTGTTCCAGGCACGTCCAGCTGGGAAGAGACCAAGGGGTAGACCTAGGACCAGGTGGAGGGATTATATCTCTTCGCTGGCCTGGGAGCGCCTTGGGATCCCCCAGTCAGAGCTGGTTGATGTCGCCAGGGAAAAGAAAGTTTGGGGCTCTCTGCTGGAACTGCTACCCCCGCGACCCGACCACGGATAAGCGGGAGAAGATGGATGGATGGATGGACAAACTATTCGTAAACCCCTTTATAAGGGTAGTCTTATTGTAAAGTGCTACAAATAAACGTCACTTTCTATTAGAGATGACGTACTGGCTGTCATACCACACAAATTCTCCCGCAAAGAACGTATGGTAGCAGATGAGCAGATTTCTGCCGGTAAGTGTGTTTTGCTTTCACATTCTCAGATATTCAAAAAACTGTTAACAAGTTTGGAAAGATTTTCTGTCTTAGTCCCAGATTATACTTGCTTTGTTATTCCAAGACCTGCATTGGTTGATAGAGATCATTTGTTTGCAGCTCAAAGGCTTACTGTGTGTTTTAACTCATTCTCAAATGTTGAGCTCATGAAATAAAGATATGAACTATAAAGAAGCATTCCTGTAAGATTTGTGATATGTATTCCTCTTGAATCAGGTTGGATGCATGCAGGCTATCCAGTCATGATACACACAAAATCAGCTGCTGAGCTTTTCGAACCAAATGACACCAGGACTGCATGCCTGTGGGGAGAAGTTCATGAACTGGGACACAACCAACAGAGAAGCTGCTCGGAGTTCAGACCACACACCACAGAGGCCACATGCAACCTCTGGTCAGTGTATGTGCATGAAGAGGTGCTGGGGCTCAAAAGAGAAAAGGTATGAAGAAGGATATCATATATCAGTATTTTCAAACGTATGACCAAAGGCCCAATAAAGCTATCTCTAAGAGAATTATTGTTATTTCCTACTTGTAATAAAATGACTTGACTGTGTTCAATACAGGCTCATTCATCGATGATCTTGACAAATCGGAAGAATACTGTAGATAAGTATGTTAAGGGAGGCAAGAATCTCAGCGACTGGAATGTGTGGACGGCCCTGGAGACATACCTGCAGGTGAAAGAGAGTTGATGTGTTTTACATTATGTGGAAAAAATACGTATGCCTGGGTATCACTACAGTTGACATTTAAACAGAAATGGAAACCTACACAGGCTAAAAAATAAGGAAAAAGTAAGGCTGAAAGTTAATTGACCTGCTAATATCCCTCAACTGTTGTAGAACGTATGATTATGGCGGTAACATAACGGTTTGGCCAATGGTCCAGCACTTTAAAGGTGGAAAGACTTTGGACTGGTTTTGGGGACATGGAGAATTAATAACTCCATGTTAGGAATAATGTGGTTCATAAGTGTAAATCAGACTCTGAACAAAGATGGGGTAAGGCTCACGCCAAAAATCTCAATAACACCCCGGTCCAAGAGGTCAACTCAAATCTTATGAAGAATTAAATCTCCTTAGTATTGGACAATTAAACATTTTTAAAAGTTATAACTAATCCCCACAGGAGCTCAATGTCTTTAACAAGTTGCATTGCTATCTATCCAATAAATGTTAAGATATTTCACTCTAGACTAGGTGATGGACTTATGGCCGTGCAACAATATATTTGTACTACTCTATTGTTGTGTGGCTAGAATTGCCCCTTAACACTTTTCTAGTTTACTGCAGTAAATGTGTTAAATCTTACGAAATGATGTCTCTCCATGTAGCTCCAAGGAATATTTGGCTGGGATGCCTTTAAAAAGGTATTTGCTGCCTACCACAAGATAAGCAACTACCCCAGTGACAACAGTGGAAAGATGAACCTGTATGCTGAGACCTTCTCCCAGACTGTGGGGATGAACCTGTCTGCGTTCTTTAAGTCCTGGGGCTGGCCCATCGACAGAGCCACTGAGGAGAAACTCACCCCCCCAGCCTCCCTGGAGCGACCACCCCATGCTCAAATATGACTGCAGCTTAATAAATTGCAGAGAGATCAGTGTCAGCTTATCAATATGTCAAAGTAGAAACATGTTAATATTCCCTTTTAACAAATTAAACAAGTTTAGATTGCACTTAAGTCAATTTGCAGCTGAAGCTGTATAAAACTTGTGGTTGGGATTTAAGTTAAACTAAGATGTCACAAAGAGTCCGATGATATTTAACTTAGGGTTCATTTCTAAGAGCAACTCTTTTGAAAAACGCACCATAATGTGTTCCTCTGTAAATATACACATGATGATCAGAGTAGCTTAAGATCTTTTTCAGCAAAAAAACCTATTGGTAACATCAGCTTTGCAACACTGTTATATGAGCCATCAAAGTAAAACAGTGTGTTATCTAGGTTCTCCTTTGAGGGTCATACAACTCTAATACACCTTTTAGTGCTGAGGTGGAGCTGTAGCAGTTTACTATAGTTCAAACCGGAGAGACGTGATGTAAGGAATACATATTTATTGTTTACACGTCATATGAATGAAATGATTGCCATGATAATACAAAAAGAGAATGGAATGGTGTTTGGCGATTAGGCCCCGGTTTGCAGGATAATCATTCAGGAGGGAAAGAACCGCTCCGATGAAATCCTCGGGGTCTAGACACTGGTGGTGGTGATAAGTAGGTGGGACCGGTCTGAAGAAGGAAGTTTAGCTTTGTCCTGGAGGAGACGGGAGGCGAGAGGGGTCAGGCGGGTTGCGTGTGGTCACCTGAAATGACAACTGACAGGGAGGAAGAGCAGGAATTTAAGGAATTTAGCCTGTGCAGCAATTGGCTGCTGAGGGGTGACGCCCTCGTATTTAATGAGGGGGGAAGGGAGCAATAGAGTGACGTGTAAGTGACTCATGTTAGGTCTTCCTTATTGAACTTGCGCTAAAGCTTTCATTTGGTAATGTTGTCATTAGCTTCAGAGTAAAATAATAAAACGAATTGTGGTTCTTCTTTAGGGTTAATCTACAGTAGGGTTTTCTTTCAGGGTCATATAAGTCTAATACTTTTACAGATATTAAGGTGTGAGGTGTTTTGTTGATCAGTAATCAGTTAATCTGTATGTCTTCTTGTTACTTTTCTGATAGATCGTTTGCTTTTAGGATGTTAAAGATAGTACAATATACCTATGTATTATTCATGTGATTGATTATTGGATGAGGTTTCACTATAACCCTGAAGGGATGTCATATTTCTTGACAAGGAAATTAAGATAATTTAATCATTCATACAAAAAAGTATAGTTTATGATGTCAGAAACTCATTGTATTTTCAAAATGTGCACAATTGATATTTAGTGTGAAACGTATTTGTTTTCTCACTGTTTTATTTTGTGGTGATATAAATGTAATGCAAAAATAAAGGGCAATGGCACCTGCTTTTTTTATCGTCCCTTTATTATCTTTTATGCTTTGCAGTTGTCAAACAGCTCCCCTACTGGCTGATTGGAGAACTGCTGGAGGAAATCTCCCAGTTGTTCTAGAGAGAGCTTCTCCACCCAGTTTTCCTCCGTGTTCCTCGCTGTGGCAGCACCACTCTGAATGGGTCTGCCATTGTTGTCCACACAACAGTAGGCATTCCAAAGGTAGTCTGGGATATTGACCCGCTTCACATTGTTTTTCACAATCCAGTTGTCCACAGAGGGAACTGCACCAACAAGCACAAAGGCCTTAGAGCACTTGTCCCGGAAAAGGTCTGTGAGCTGGGACTCGTGGATCCTCCAGGCGTTCTGGTTCATTTTGGGGTTCTGAGGAACCACATTGGTCAGGGTGAAAGTGGCATTGCGGCCAGGGACTGTAAGAGAGAGAGGAATGGATAGTTACAGTAAATTATGCAAGATATCAAGTTTGTGGTTCTGGAGAAATAAAGCTGTGTATATGTGGTCAGAGGGAGAAGGAAAGATACAGAGATGTGTCCAACAGCAGCTGGATAAATTGTTAGTCTACATCTACAAGTTCAAAATGCACCCATTATTCTTCAACATTTTTAGGATATTAGCTGGAGGCAGGTTTTGTGGGGAAGGTCCAAATCCAAGGCAACAGCAGCTGAATAAGATTAAAGCAACCATACAAGTGCCTTTCCTCAACATTAACCAGGGATTCGCTAACTAATAAAGCCCTGACCTACAAAAAAACACTCAAAATGAAATACCCAAAATGAATAAGAACCTAAGGAAAATGAAAAAGTTAATTGCACCTTTAAATTTGATGAAAATACACTAATTTTAAATAACAATCTTCCAAAGATGTTGAGTATTATATGACTGAAGAGCTATGAAAATAAACGAAGAATGCACATATCTACTTATCTAATTCCAGCTTGGCAACTGTCATTCAGTCCTTGATTATTTGTGAAAGCCAGAACAAAAGCCAGGAGGCGGGCTCCGCTTATAAACAAAACTGTACGTTTTTATCTCAATAAAGTTTAAAGAAACGACAACATAACTTCCTTCTCCTGGCTTACATTGCAAACTATTTGCGATTTTCAAATCCAAAAAGGCATCCCAAAATTAGTGCCGAAATTGGCAAGGATACATTTTACATTCTTTTGGCCGACTATTGTCATATCCAGAGAAATGCACTGGCACTGCTGAGCCGAGGCTGCTGCAAAGCGTAAATGATCAGACCCTCCAGAAGCTCAGTGTGCAAACACTTTTGCTACCTTGGTTATATTGTGCAAAAATTTAATTATTGTATGCAATGTCAGAGTGGGGCAGTTTTTGTTGGATGCCCTCGCTGACGCTGAGCTTGTGTCGAATTGTACGGCCTACTATGCATGGACATTGTATTCCCAAGTAGACTCAGGTGTGCTCAAGAACTCAGGACCCCAAACTGGGAAATACAACCAACACCAACAGGGCCGGGAGGCCAGATGGCCACTGAGTGAGTATTCGTGTTGGCTAACGCTATTGTAAGCGGTTTTGTTGCGTTTAATCTATAACAAAGTGCTGAGTAATTAAAGTTGGTCTTTTATTGTGAAAGGTAAACACGGAAAGATTGAAGTGGTGTAGCGTTGCTATCTTTAAATCTCAGTAAAACACTATGCTATTAAAGGTGGGGTAGGTCATTTTGGAGAAACCAGCTAGAATGCGTTAGAATTTGAAAAATCTGCCACTTCCTTAGAGAGCCCCTCCTCCAACACACACGAACGCGCACATGACCAATGAGGGCACGAGATAAGTTTGTGCACAGATGGAAGGCTGACAGGCAGGTAGGCCATCCAGTTATTTTAGCCGGGCCTGCTAAAATGATTGGTCGTGCTTTTTACAGTACTACGGCTTCCACAGATGACATTTTTTTATGGATTTGTTGTCAAAGCACTTAAGATATTAATTGCTATCGGGATGTTAAGAGCATTCCATGGAATATAACAAAACGTGTATCTCGAGCCGGTTTCTCAAACTTACCTACCCCACCTTTAACTATTGTGTGCACTGTAACTACCCATCTCCAACTAAATGAGCATATTAGAGTTATCAACCAAAGACGGAGAAATGTTCCCATTAGGATATTCTTTGAAAAAGCTTTTTTTTATATATAATGTAATAAACAAAACAACTTCAATGGCATGTATGAATGTGTCTAAGTGTCTCGAGGCTACTTGAGTAGATGTGTAATAACCTTACTCCTCCATGGTTGATGAAACAAGTAAGATAGTTGGTTAAATACTAGCATACATGTAATACATTGTGATTTGGCCTAATCTGATATCCCCCTTTTGGATTAAACTGAAATCAAAGTTCATCCTCCCTTACCGGGATGGTGTCCGTTGGGGTTGAGGTGACCTCGGTCAAACCCAGAATGTGTGTAGTCCTCATTCAGAGCCTGTCTTTCTCCTTGGTAGACCCCAGGGTGGTCTTTCCCTAGCCAGTAGCCATCCTTCATTTCTGCTTGCCAGGACATGTTTACTAACTGTAAGACAAAAACTCTATCATTTTGAGGATACAGATGATGTCTAAAGGCCTCATATAGTATCATAATATTGCAGGATATCGATGCATTATGCACCTGGTGGATTACTTACAAACCACACTCTCCATACTTGATAACTATGTCTTACATTTTCATTTATTTGTTCATCAATTTAGTACAGTGGATTTGCATATACTACACAAACACAAATGTGCCACCAACCTGAGGCTCCACAAACCACCTTTTCTCCCTGCCACCTCCATTGCTGGGCTGGAAATGATAGGCTGAGTAGACAGCAATACGGTTGTTGGTGTCATACAGGGTGGCAAAGTGGTACCTGGTGGTGCAAAAGATTAAGAATAAAGGATTGAGAGATCAGGAATGTTTTAAGGGAAAAGTGTAAGAAACATTGAGTGCTCAAAGAATTTCTAAATTCTACTTTCTGCCCTTCCCTACCTGTTGTTGAAGCGCTGACAGAGACGGGCAGCACCAGGTGTAGAAGCCCCCCAGTCTGGCACCTTGTCCTTATAGAAGTACGTCACGCATTCTGGCACATCCTGGGACAAAATCACTTACTGAGCCACTTACCAACACACAGATAAAAATGTCCTTAACAATTTTGACTGAACTATAAGATCACAAACCTCAAAACGTTCAACAAGATCGGCATTAACAGAAAAGAGGAGCCAGAGAAGAGCGCACAAAGGGGAAAAAGTTTGCATCCTGGAAATAACCTCTAGTATTTGGGAGTCTTGATTGGCCTATAGAGTTGAATAAAACAGAAGATAAGCATGTGAGTTAGGGCTGGTCGATATACAGTAGACGTATATCAAATATCACAACATATTTCACTAAAACGCGAAATATACAGTTGACTATTGGGGCTTCCATTACATACACATGATTTCTGAAGAAATAATCATCGGTAATGTGGACATACCAACTTAGTGGGTAAAGACCAATAATAAACATTACAGAATGACATCACTGTAATGCAGCCTTCGAAACAGGAAAAAAACACACTTGTTCCATAGTATATCACATTATCTATAGCCGCATAACACAATATTAATATGACATCTATATTCAGTTTTTCCCTAATGATAAAATATTTTATTTGAACATGGCAGTTATGAACGCAGCAACTAAAAAAGGCTTGTTGGGCCTGCAAATGAAAGAGGATCAGTTTGTTATAATGTATTTTTAACTCACCCGCTGGTCCACCTGCCTGCTGCCACGGTCCACGCTGAGCAGAAACTGGCTTTTATGTATGACTTTCCGTCACCTTTCACCTAGTGTGCCCTTAACTTATCTGAACTCCTGTTACCATGTGACATTTGTGTGTGATGAACCAAAAATCGGCCACCACAAGGTGTAGATGAGGGAGTGTGTAAGAATTGAAAAACAACATAGACAATCCCAATATTAGCACTGCAAAGGTCTGATATCCTCCTATATTTATATATATTTCAGCTATTGATACATTCTAAGATTGAG